TGAGTTGATTCTGCCCATGCCTGTATTGATTTTTTTCCGTCGGAGATTAGCATTTGTCTGTTGCCCTGTTTAATTTGTCGTTTGATTCTGTCAGTCGTTTTTTCGATTTTTTCCGTCGCTGAGTTTGTTCCGTTTATTACTGGGTTGATTCTGTGTGTCATTGTGTGAATTCCGTGGTTCATTTGGTTTATGTCTGTCGCTGAGTTGATTCTACCCATGTCGTTATTGATTTTAGTCTATCGCAGACTAGTATCTGTCTGTCACCATGTTTATTTTGTCTGCTGCTGTCTTGTTTCTTTTTTTTCGCTGTATTAATTCTGTCATTGACTGTGTTGATTATGATTGGGGATTTGTTGATTCTTTTAGTCGCTGTGTTGACTTTGTTGGTCACTTTCTTTATTCGCACGGTTGGGCTGGTTTGATTTTGTCAGTCACTGTGTGGATTCTGTCCGTCAGTGCAATTGATTATTTTTGTCGCTATGTTTTTTTTTTAGTTCGGTCACTGCGTTGATTCTTTATGTCGTTTTTTTAATTAAGTCCATCACTGGGTTGATTATGTCTGTCGCTGTGTTGATTATCTGTTACTGTGTTGATACGGTCCATACCTGTGTTGATTCTGTAAGTCGCTTTGTTAATTCTCTATGAAGAATTGTACCTACTACCTGTCGCTGTATTGATTCTGTCTAATGTTGTTTAAATTCTGTCTGTTGCTGTTTTGATTTTGTCCGTGGCTGTTTTGATTCTGTCTATTACTGTGTTGATTTTGTGTGTCAATGTGTGGATTCCATATTTCGCTTTGTTTATTATGCCTGTCACTGAGTTGATTCTGCCCATGGCTGCATTGATGTAAATCTGTCGCAGATTCAATTCTGTCTGTCACCCTGTTTATTTTTAATGACGAGGTGATGGTGATTATGATGATGAAGATAATGATGATGAAAATGATGATTATGATGGAACACAGTAGATGTGATTTTTTCCGTATATTTGATTAAATGAAGGGAAACTGTAGGAAGAAAAGGGAAGAAAAAGTGTAGGAAGTTGTAGTTAAATGTAGGAAGTTACCAGGAAGTGTAGGAAGTTGCAGGAAAAAGAATAAATTGTAGAGAAAAGTAGGAAGATTTGGAAAAGTCTAGGAAGGTGTAACAAAGTGTCGTAAGATGTAGAGAAGTTTCGAAAGTTTTAGGTAATCGTCGGAAGTTGTAGGGAAGTTTATAAATTTGTAAAGAAGTGTGGGCAGTTGTACGGAGGATAAGGCAGTTTAAGAGAGGTGTGGAAAATTGAAGGTAAGGGTAAGAAATTTTAAGGAAAGTAGGAAGCTGTAGAAAATTGTATTAATTTTTAGGGAATTGAAGGAATTTGTGGGGAAGTGTAGGAAAATGTAAAAATTTTTTTTCCAAAAATGTAGAGTAGTATAGGCAGATGTTGAAAACGGTAGGAAGATGTAGGGAAGTGTAGGAAACCGTAGCGAAGTTTTAGAGACGAGTAGGAAGTTTTAGATAGGTGTAGAAAATTGAAGAAAAGAATAGGAATTTGTGGGGAAAAGGAGAAAGCTGTAGAGAAGTGTAGGAAATTGTAGGGACAGATAGTAAAATGTGTGGGAATATTTCCTGAAGTGTAGGAAGGTTATGGACATTGTAGGAAGATGGAGAAAAGAGTAGGAAGATGTACGGAAGGGTAGGAATTTTAGAAAGTGTAGGAATATGTATGGATGTGTAGAAAGTTGTAGAGCAATGTAGGGAAAAGTAGCACGATGTAGAAAATTGTAGGAAATTGTAGGGAAGAGTAGGAAGTTATAGAAAAGTGAAGGAAGTTTTAGGAAATTGTACATGATAAAGGAAAGTGTATACGTTTGTTGGAGAATGTAGAAAGTTATAGGGAAGTAAAGGAATTTGTAGGAAGATGTAGAAAAGTGTCGGAATATGTAGGGATGTGTAAAAAGTTGTGGAGAAATGTAGGGAAGTGTATGAAGTATAGGAAAGTTTAGGAAGTTGTTGGAAAATGTACGGAAGTGAAGGAAAGCGTTTACGTTTGTAAGGGAGTTTTTAAAGTTATAGTGATGTGTAGGAAGATTTAGGGAAGTGTTGGGAGTTGTATGAAACTGTATGAAGATATAGGTAAGTGCAGTAAGTTTTAGGTAATTTTTAGAAATGTAGGTAAGTATATGAAGATGTGGGGAAGTACAGAATGATAGAGGGATGTTTAGAAAGTGATAGGGATTTGTAGGAAGTTGTAGGTAAGTGTAGGAAGTTGTAGGGATGTGTAGGAAAATGTAGGGAGGTGTAGAAGTATGTTTCACTATTAACAGGTAGAGCTTAAGAAGTATATACAGGACTTGATAAAGAACAAAACATGAAATATCAGACAATTAGGTTTAAGCTATTCAAGAAATATTTACTAGCAGCTGAGGGGATTAGGAAGCGGTTTAGGGAGACAAAAATAGAGATAGACGAAATGTATACTAGGCTGGCTGTTAGGATACAAAGATATCTAGATAGGTGGAAAGAACTATCAGGTTCTGAGAAGACGGTAAGTGGCATGGCTGATTTGTTTGTGAGATAATAGCTCCTCAATGTTGTGAGTGATAATGTTAGGATCTTTCTGAAGGAGATGAATCCTAAATCAGTGAAGGAATTGGTAGAGATGGCGGATTTCTACAGTCAGGCTCATCAGAGTGGCAGAGGCAAGATGTACTCAAAAGAAAGAAGGCACAAACAAATGGAGGGCAAGGTAAGAAAATATTTGTAGCAATTGCAACGCTCTTTGGCATTTATGTAAAGACTGTAAAAAAGAAAAGAATGATTGTGAGTGGAACTCTCGTGGAGAGGAGAAATGCAGTTGTCGTTTTTTTTGCGGGTACACAATCATATCGCAAAATTTTGTCCCGAGAAACGCAATAGGCAGCTGGCGTGAAGGGTCAAAGGGATTACCGAAGTGACGCGCACTGATGAGAATGTGGTTTGAGGGCGTGACCAAAGTGGTGAAACATTTGCTCTGGGCACCATGCATCCAGATATCATTGGTCTGGAGGGTTACACCTTTCAGGTACAGTAAACGGGGTGAGAGACGTAAAGGTTCTCCGAGATTCTGGGTGTAGTTTGGCCTTAGTGGCTAGTACGTTAATAACCAAGGAATGTTATTCCGGTGATATTAAGAAGCATAAAGTGGCAAATGGAATGCAATTTAAATCACCTACTTCACATTTTTATGTGGCCGTACCGTATTACAGAGGTGAAATTGAGGCTCTGGTGGTAAAGACACCTATGGTGGACCTAATGATAGGAAACATAGAGTGGGTTTGTAGACTACGTAGATGAGGGGGTTGGGGCCATGATGACGCGCTCCGCTAAACAAAGAGCTGAAGAAAAGGAAGTGGAGGGGCAAGTTACCCAGGGGTGAGCCTACTCTATTAATCAGAAATGTGTAGCTACGAATAACATAACAGCTAAGTAAAAAATGGAGATAATCAAGGAACAAGGAGAAGACGTGTCTTTGTCCAGCATGTTTGACGGGGACAGTAGTGAAAGTGAGGATAGTGACAGCTGTTTGATCAAAGATAATGAAATGATGTCCCGGATCAAGAGGTGCAATTATGGAAACCCAAACATTAAACTACTGTTAGTGCCCACATCGTTTAGGGCAGATATACTTAAAATTGTCCATGAAAATGTTTTTGCAGGTAACCTTAAATTAGGGCGGAACTTAGAAAGAGTTTAAGCATCAATCTTCAGTATAGTGAGAGTTCTGACTTCGCTAGATTCGTAAGATCATGTGACGCGTGTCAGAAAACCTCCAATAAAGGGATGGTGAAAAAATCCCCGCTGGTCCCCATGTCATTGATAGACATTCATTTTGATAGGGTTGCTATTGACATTGTTGGGCCACTTTTGCGCAACAACAAAGGAAATTTTGACCTTGGTGGATTACGCCATCAGATTTCCTGAGGCAAAAGCATTGTCTATAGTGACAGCAGAAGCTGTGAGTTAGCCATTGATGGAGATGTTGTCGCTATTGGGAATTCCGAGGGATATTGTGTCGGATAGAGGGGCTTACTTCAAAGGAGAACTCATGCGTCAAATTAGTGAATTGTTGAAGACAAAACAATTGTTCACGCAATGGCCAATGGGTTGTGTGAGTGCTTCAAGGCCCAGTTGAAGCGGGTGGCATCTAAGCATCCTCAAGTGTGGGACGCCTATCTGGCACCGTTGTTGTTCGCTTACAGGGAGACGCCTCAGGCGAGTACAGGATTTAGTCCATTTGAGTTGATGTTTGGAAATCCTGTGAGAGGACCGTTATTAATCTTGAAGGACCTGTGGACAGGTGACGCAAATCCAGAGATGAGGGACACTTATGAATATGTTCTTACCATAAGAGAGAGAGAGACTCCAGTACGCTCTTGTATTAGCATGAGCATCTGAGAGAGTAGAAGGAGAAGCAGTAGAAACACGACACCAGAGGCGCTAAGATGAGATTATTTCGAACTGGAAATAGAGTTTTAATTCAGCTACCCACTGAGAAATCCAAGCTCCAAATGATTAGGAAGGGTCGTTATAATGTTGAAGAGAGAGTTTAACGGGTGGAATACGTCATTAATGTTCGTTGGAAAAGAAGGACGTATGACGTGAAAATGCATATGTAAAGGCATATGTAAAAAGAGAAAAGCCGGTAGAAACAGTGGCGGCTGCGGTTATAGAGCAGGTTGAAAATGAAGAAGATGCAATACAAAATTTTATGAGGAAAACACACTTACAACTTTCACAAACAGATTATTATAAAGATGTGAAAGTGAGTGATGGTTTGAATGCTTTATAACGAGATGAAATGAGCAGAATAATTTAGAAGTACGCAGACGTGTTCAGTGATAAACCTGGGCTGACCAATGTTTACACACACCGCATACATTTGACTGATCACAAGCCAGTCAAAGTGAGGCAGTACCCGCTACCATTCTCAACAAGGGAACCATTAAAGAAGAGCTGGATGGAATGTTGGCTGCTGGAGTAATTGAGTCGTCAGAGTCAGCATATTCGTCACCAGTAGTCTTGGTGGAGAAACTCGATGGGTCGTTTCGGTTATGTAATGATTGCAGAAGGTTGAATTCTGTTACCGCTGAACCGATGCCAGAGATCTAAGCAATAATGGCTAATCTCAGGGGCTCAAAATATTTTTTAAAATTATACCTTACAAAAGGTTATTGGCAGTTCCCCATTGATAAACCATCGAAACCACTGACAGTCTTCAGTGCGCCAAAAGGTATGCTACAATACAAGGTGTTACCATTTGGTGTAAAGAGTTCTCCTGCTGCATGCAATCACCTTGTCAAGGGGATACTGACAAATGTTGGACCGGGCGGAGAGCCCTTTGTGGATGATTTTTTATTCACATTGCCACATGGAAAGATTTCTTGGAGATATGTAAGAGGCTGCTCAAGCGGGTGAGCGAGGCAAACCTCAAAATCAAACCAAAAAAACGATGTTCGTTATGGAGGAAGTGGAGTTTTTGGAACACGCGGTGCAGGCAGGAGTTATCAGGCCTCAAAATGAGAAATTTAGGCAATAAAAAATGTGACCAGCCAACGAACAAAAATAAAGTTAGAAGCTTTCTTGGCTTAGCGTGATATTATTGGAAATTTGTGCCCAATTTCTCAGCCATAACCACAGCTCTGTCCGATCTGACAAAGAAGTCACATGGGAACAAGTTTAAATGGGAAGAGCCACAAGAAAAGGCATTTAAACACATTAACAAACATTGCGTGTAGACTGCGCGGATATGGCGCGTAAATTTCCCGTAGATTTCGCGTCGATTGTGTGTGTTTTTTTCGAAAAGATTGCGTGTGTTGATTGCTTGTAGATTGCGCGTAGATTGCACGTAGATTTTGTGTAATAATGCACGTATATTTCGCATAAATTTCCCGTAGATTGTGCTTAGATTGCGTGTATATTGCGCATATATTGTGCGTAGAATGAATGTATATTGCACGTAGATTTCGCGTACATTGCGCCTAGATTGAGTGTAGATTGTGTGTTAATTAAGAGTATATTGTGCTTAGATTACTCGTAGATTGCGTGTAGATTGCACGTAGAATTTGTGTGTTGATTTTATGTAGTTTTTGTGTGTTGATTGCACCTAGATTACTCGTATATCGTTCGTTGTTTGCGCGTAGATTGCACGTTGATTGCGCATAAATTGCATGTAGTTTGCAAGTAGATTGACGTAGATTGCGCGTAGTATGCGCATATATTGCGCTTAGATTTTGAATATATTTCACGTAGATGGCGCTTTTTTGCTCGTAGATTGTACGTAGATTGTGCGTAGATTGTGCGTATATTGTTTTAAATACGCGTATATTTTGCTAGATTTTGCACGTAGACTTGGCATATATTTCGCGCCAATTGCTTCAATATACTGTTAGATTGTGCGTATATTGCGCGTGTATCGTGCATTGGTTTCGTGGATATTTCCCGTATATTGCACTTATATTTTGCATATATTGAGATTTGATTGTGCGTAATATGTGTGTAGAGTACTCTTAGATTGCACGTAGATTTTATTTGTTGATTTCCCTGCGTAAGTTGCGTGTGTTGATTGCTCGTAGAGTAAGCGTAAATTGCGAGTAGATTATGTAAAGATTGCACGTAGATTTGGCGTATATTGCGCGTAGATTAGTTCTTAGATTGTGTATTTTAATTGCGTGTTGACTGCGCGTAGCTTGCGTGTAAAATGTGTGTAGATTGTGTGTGTTGATTTCATATAAATTGCGCATAGTAAGCGAGGAGATTTTGACTGAATGGCACGTAAACAGCGCGTAGTTTGAACATAAATTTACGCGAAGATTGTGCATAGTTTGCGCGGAGATTGCGAGTATATTGCTTGTAGATTGTGCATATCTTGCGCGTTACAGTGCGTAGATTGCGCGTAGATTGTGCAGACATCGCGCGTAAAATGAGTGGTGAGACCCGCTGGTCCTTACCTTTTTGAGACCTGTTGACTCACACGCTCTCCACCCCTATCACACACTCTCCATCGCTACAACATGTGATAGGCATAATTAGGCTACCCTAACTTTAATAACAATGTCATTGTCTATAATCAGTAGAAATAAAACTGGTCACCTTGACAGTGACCCGGCTTAAACAATGCGCTCATTTTGGTCAACGCGTCCAAAAGCCATGAATGCTAGAATGCAGGTGGGGACGCCAAACTTATCCGAATGTAACCAAAACCCCCAGCATGTATCGCCCCCTTTCACCCGTCGTTTGTACGTCAGAGCCTGGCTAATATAATTATTTCATGAAGTTTTTTTATCTATAAATTGCTGGATTAGTATTTTTAATTGTCATATTAATGTGTTTATAGAATTGAAGTTCTAATAAGAAGTGTTTAAGCTTTAGTTACTTTTAGTTTATGATTAAATTATTAATAATCTGATGTGATTTTGAGAACCAAGTGTAGGTTAGGCCTACAAGAGTAGCAGAGACGCGCAGTGACCAGTGAACAACGAGAGGACTGTGTGTGTGTGCCCACAATTGCAGTATTAAATTCTACACCTCACGTGGTAATGTGTAGAAAACGAAAACCTGTAACGCCATCAAGACTTCGCAGTGCGCAGTGACCCGAGTCGAGAGAGAGGCCAAACCAACACACTAGTGCTTGACAACAGTAGCCCGATACACACTACAACTAGTAATTCAAGATGCCTAGGCAATGTTCGGCGTTTGGCTGTTCAAACAGTCAAGTTAAGGACAGCGGTATAAGTCTGCATACGTTTCCGCTTAAGGATAAAGAAAATTTAAGACAATGGCTTGACAAAGTGGACCTTCTTTAATTATTCACATGAAATCTTGTTCACATGAAACCCTTTATAGTCCTAGTGATGATCTCGGTGGATCACACAGTAAGGGAGTTCCTTCAGTTCTAGAAGCGTGCCCTTGTTCCGGCCTTCGTAGCTGTTCTAGGCGTAGCGAAGTCGGAGTTCCCGGTCGTAGATTCCGTGGAATGTCTGTGATGGGGAAAATGACTCTCGCGCGATAATTCGTGGTGGTGAGAGTGACTGGAACTCGAAGTCCTTTTGGTAGCTGACAGGTAGCTTGGTGTAGGATGTAGATCAATCCCCTAGCGCCAGCTCAAGGTAAGTCGGTCCAGTAATAGAAACCAGGCTAAAGGCAAATGATACAAAAATTGATAAGTATCCAAGCGAATAGCCATAGGCTGATAATTCCCGTTCCACTAGCAACGAATTCAGATCGATGTATAAAGGTGACATAGCTCGTGCATATACATCCAAATTGTGAATGAGAATGCGATTATAAGTCTGATCATTGTCGGCGTAAACAGATCTTGCTCCGCGACAATGTTGGACCAAGCAAACATTTTAATTAATAAAGTATGGGACATGGTAGCATTAACAATCATTAAAATTATAGGTGCATGATATTCATATTGTCTTCTTTTTAAAAGAGACATGTGCACTTTCAAACAACTCCTACCATCCGCATGATGGAATGGCGGCGGGTCGTAGCACGTGGCAAAAGCAATAATAGAATTCATAATATCAATATAGATGAATATAGGCATTATCAGGATAAGATCACACACGAACGATAATAAATACATGGGCAATAACATGATAACAAAATCATGGTTGCGTACTTACTAGTACTCTAGGTAGCAGTCGCAGTTAAGTATCTCGCAAGTGAAGTACTAAGTCAAGTTACTTCAAGCGTTCACAATTGAGTGATCAGATCTTAAAAGACGTATACTTGCTAAGTCCTAGGTTGCAGTTATGTATCACGCTAGACAAGTTCTAAGTCCAGATCCTTTCAGCGTTCACGGTCAAATGAGCATGATCATAAAAGACAGATTCTTGCATGTGCAGGCTATTTATTCGAGCTGGGATGGCGATTAGGTTCAATTGGGTGATTTAAATGGTGTGCGTTTTCCTATCCAATGACAATCACTTTCGATGTTGCGGGTTTGAACTTTTGCTCCCAAAGTTTATCGGGCTGAGATGAAAATCCAAATTCACACTTTTGCGTGAGTTTTCTGGTTTAGAAACTTAATAACGACAAGGGGTGATACTCCGCTATGCTGTCCCCAGGGCTGAAATGAAGGGGTGATGGTATTAATTCCTCAAGGTTGAGCGTCCAGGAGGATTGAATACAAATTAAACACTTTTTGGGATGAGCAGCCTTGAGTAAAAATGTCATAACACCAAGGGAAACCACTCGGGTTAGTCTACTGTGGGGCAAAACATAGGGAGGGAATGGCATTATATTACAGGGTATTCAAAGGTGTATTTGCGGGGAAAGAAATTTTATAAAGTCCAGTTCCAGATCATCACACTACCCCAAACCCTAACCCTTAGCTTAACGATAACCATAACCCCACCCCTAACATAGTGGCAGACAGAATCAACCCATCAATTGACATAATCAACACATCGACAGACAGAATCAACACAGCGACAGGCAGAATAACACAGCAACCGACATAATCAGCCCAGCGATGGACATAATCAACCCAGCGATTGATATAATCGACCCAGCGACAGACATAACCAACACAGTGACAGACCGAATAAACACAGCGAATCTGTCTGTCAATGTGCTGTTTATTTCTTTCGCTATATGGACTCTGTCTCTGTGTTGATTCTGTCTTTCACTGGTTTAATTTTGTCTGTCGCTATGTTGATTATGTCTGCCGCTGTGATGAATCTGTTTTTCACTGCGTTTATTCTATCAATTACTGGGTTGATTCTGTCTGACACTGTGTTGATGCTGTGGTTCGTTTGGGTTATTAGGTTTGTCGCTGAGTTGATTCTGTTTGTCACCCTATTGGTTTTGTCTATTGCTGTGTTGATATGGTTTGTTGCTGTGTTGATTCTGTCTGTCTCTGTTTTGATTCTGTCGGTCACTGACCTTATTCTATATATAATTTTTATAGACTTCAAAAATGCCTTTGATAGCCTGGACCGACAAACCTTGTGGAAACTTCTTCGGCACTCTTGAGTACCAGGCAAACTAGTCAAGATCATTTAGAGCTCTTATGAAAAAGTGAAAAACGGGGCGGTAAACAAAGGTAAGCTCACAAATTCAATTTAAAGACGAAACAGGAGTCAGAGAAGGATGCCTCTTGTCCCCATTTCTATTCATCTATGTCATTGACTGGATAATCAAAAAATCCACACACAAAAGAGGAAAGGGATATTGACACTCTGGGAACAACTGAATGATTTAGACTTTGCAGACGACATTGCACTTCTTTCCCACAACCAGCAACAAATGCAGAAAAAGACAAAAGACGTAACCACAATTTCAGCACCGTTTGGACTCAGTATAAATACAAGCAACAAAAAATCAGAAAGGTAAACTCATTCAACCAAGAGCATATTTGTCTGGCAGGAAAGGCACTGAAAGAAGTGGGGTACTTCAGCTACTTAGGCAGCACCATAGGCACAAATGGCGGATCCGATGTGGACGTAAGGGCGGAATTGGAAAAGCTAGATCAGCATTTGTGCTATTCAAGAAGATGGGATTCGAAGGAGCTGAAACTGCAAACCAAAGTCAGAATCTTTAATACAAATGTCAAAACAGCCGTATTATATGGTGCATAAACTTGGAAAAAAGCTGTGAGACTTATGTAGAAAATTCAGACATTAATAAGCACATGAATTAGAAAGATCCTGAAAAT